AAGGCCCAAACAACAGAAAAAATGCAAAGGCCACTATCATCCTGAGGGCTTAGACCTGATTTGGGCATGGGGCAGTGTGCCTCTCAGGAGCTTATGGTCAGGAGACGCTTTTTATGAGGCAACTAGACTAGCTTCTTGCTGATATTTTAAGGAGCTGGAGATTTTTTGGCTAGAGCTTGGAAAACAGGGAATGATGTGGAGTCTGACTAGCCAGTGTCATTGGGCAGAGATCTATTGAGCCAGCTTACCAATGGCCCAGGCTCAGCAGACCGAAGTTCTAGCTCTTCTAGCTCTCAGGACATGATAAAGAACAGAAATGTGACACCTAGTACTCCTCTTGCTCTTCGAAATTTCTGAAGATTTTCAACAACTGCAAATATCTAGACTAGATTTCAATCTGTGAGCAAATGATAGAGTTTAGTCAGATTACGTCTTCTTCCCTCCTGGCCAACTGGTTCCCTCTGGTCACTGTTCTCCTTCCCATTCTCAACAGGTTGCTGGTTACCAAGCCAGAGTCCTCGCCTGGCAGCCCATCCACCCAGCAGCCCGCCTGTCTGTATGTCTCCCCACCCACTTGGCCACTGGTTACCCACGTCCCTCAAGTTGCTTCAGTCCCGGTTGCTTTGGCTGCCTAGACCAGAGGAATACCTACAAAAAGGATTCTTCCTATGGTAATCTACTTGTGAGTCTCCTGGTGAAAGGAATGAGTCATACAGTAAAGACAATCTGGTCAATTTAGCCAATTCTGCTCTTCGTAGTTCCTCAGGCTTTGGTGAGAACAGATGACATTTTAAGAATCACCCAGCTGCTTGAGCCCAGGACTGACAGCCTGTTTCCCTGGGGCTTCTGCAGAGACCACTCTGGGCAAGAAATGAGGGAACCTGGCTCAGGAAGATGACTAGGCTGGATAATGCTACCCTCCTCTCCATGGGAGACTGGTGTTGTTTTCTACCCACCAAGCACATTTTCACCACTTGCCATTGAGCAGCCAACAATGGAGAGACTTGGCCCTTTCAGGAACTATCAAGGTTGGCTGAGCTTGAAAGCACCTTCCTCTGGTTCTGGGCACACAAGGTAAGTGCATCGTTTGTGATCATGACCAAACCAAATCCTACTCTTAAATCAAGTGCTTGCCTCAGTTACGAGCTCCCATCTTTGTATTCTTCTGGGAATATTCTATTGTTTGGCTTTTTCCAAAATGCTAAAAGGGGAAATTTGAAGTGTGATGGGTTACCTCCCTGTTTAGCTAGTCGCACTGAATTCTGGGAATCCTTGGGCCTGGTGATATCTTAGCTCTTGTTCTCAAGTAATTCGTGAGGTAAAATTCACGTTGATGACATTATAGTTTTTAAGGCATTTTGACAGCCACTATCTCATTAAAACTGCACAAAAATCTAGTGAAGGCCACACAGGACAGGAATTGTCATCCCATTTTATAGATGAAGAAGCTGAAGCTGAAAGAGGTGAAAAAACTGGTCCGAGGTGAAACAGCCCCAAAGTGGCTGAACCGAGACCCGAACTTAGATTGTCCCTTTTCCAGGTCAATACATCTTTCCCTCCCTCACACTAGCAAGTGCTTTGCCTGCGAGGGCTCATGTGAAGCCAGTTGGCAAATGACATTCATAATAGTCATGTTGGAGAGGGGTGGCAGCCGAATTGGGCTTAACATTTTGCATTGCCATTTTTGCAACTTTGCTCAAGTGGTGCGGAGTCAGATTGCTTTGGCTTTCAGCTCTTCAAGAGGTTATCTCCTGACAAATATCTGTGCCTTCAACAGATCAGCTAATTCACAAGCGTGCTCTCTGACCTTGGAAATTCAAATCAGTGTACTTTGGTTTTCACTAAGAAGACTTCTTTTATATCTAGAATCACAGAATCTTAGAGCTGGAAGGAAATTTAGATCATTAACCCAATTTTCTCAGTCAATAGGCTAGGAAACCGAGGCTTAGAGGGAGTAATAGTCAAGGTCACCCAGCTTGTTAATGGCAGACGTGAGCTACAGGGGCCACGTCTTTTCTTCATATTTCAGAAGAGCTACCATGGGGCAGAGGGAGCAGATTCTCCCCGTGAGTCTTCAAGGCTTGGGAGCGGGACCCACGGCAGATTTGGGTGGGCTCTGAGGAAGCTTCCCAGTCTTTTGTTTTTCACTCCGGGCTTCTTTGGCTTAGGGGCATGCAAGGGAGATGGCTACTGAGGGGTCAGAGAAGGCTATAGGATAGGGTTTGGGGACTCTATCAAGAAAGCTCATAGAAGTCAGACAAGACTGGGCAGGAAGCTACGGCCCACCACTTAGGTGCTTTATGACTTCAGACAAGTGACTTAACCAAAGTTTTGGTCTCTGAGCCCTCCCTTACTTACAAGATGGGTGTAATACTCATTCTTGGGAATATCAAATGAAAGAACAACATATATATATATATATGTGTGTGTGTGTGTGTGTGTGTGTGTGTGTGTGTCTAATGTTTAATAGACATTTAGTAGACATTTCTATTAATAGATAGGTAGAGATTGATGATAGATAGATAGGGAACCCATGGAGTGATGTCACTCCCCATAAATAGGCAGCCCACAAAGTCCATGTCCCTCTTGTCATTGTTACCACCATCCTTTAGGTTTCAAATGGCACCAGCGGCCAAGCAGCATTAGCATTAGCACTGAAATCCATCTGTATGCTGGGTCTGTACAAAGGTGATGTCATTAACTGTCAGGGCTGTTATAAGAATTAGGTGAAGAAAATATCACTGATGGATTCAGCATATATTTGGATAGAGTACCTCTCCCAGAGTCTGGCATACAGGAGACCTTCAGAAAAGTGTGGTGAACCAAACATCTGTGGAATGAATTAAAGACAGCTCTGAGTGTATCAGGAAGTCCTCTCAGTGGCCAATAATGCCCATGTGCTCAGATGAGTTGAACAGTGATCTTATGTTGGTGTTTGTGAAGAGTCCCATAATCTTAATAACTACAGCTCTCTGGGGTCACATTTTAGGTCCTAAAAACAGTGGGGAATATGGCTAAGTGGGAGCAGCATTCAAGTCAAAGTTTCTGCAGTGGCAACTAGTTGAACCTGACTGGCAATTAAACATGGGCACAGAGGTGATCTGCTTTCATTTTTCTCCTATGACTAAGCAACTGAACTGACTGAAACTAGGAGCACAGATGCCACTGGAACTGATTGGAATCTTCCCGGGCTCTGTGCCCTGAGGTCGGTAGATGACTGCAGCGGCAACATGATTGTGAACAACTGGGGAATTCCAACATCTCAGGGGTAGGAGGAGGGAAAGTAGCCAAGGCTTTCAGTGCTATAAACCAAATAACCTGAAGCTTCTGTGGGGTTACCTGCCTCGGGGGGCGGGGGGGGGGGGATCAGATTTAGCTAGAGTCTCAGGGCAGATGGAACTGGGTGTGTTGTGTCACTTATGAAGTGAGTGCTCGCTCTGCGCCGTAAAGAACCCAGTCCAGGCTCTGGCACTGAGAAGGTGCTTAGCAAACCTTTGGTGAATGAGTCCAATTGGAGACTCATGGATTATCAAGCACCCAAAAGAGCTTTTGTTTATGTGGGTTCTATCTATTGCTATTTAATATAATGGAAATTAAAGCCAAGAAAATTTAAATATTTCTTTGTTCATTTTGAATAACATTTTTTATGAAAAAACTCATTTTCCGTGGCATTGTTTTGTATCTTTGCGAATCTCTTTAACATCTGGCTTCATAGAAGATGGCTGGATTTTCCTGTTTCTCCCTTCAATCTATTGTGATATATGCCATGCAGCCTCTTGAAAACTCCACGGGGGGCTGGCCCCGTGGCTGAGTGGTTAAGTTCACGCGCTCCGCTGCAGGCGGCCCAGTGTTTCGTTGGTTCGAATCCTGGGCGCGGACATGGCACTGCTCATCAAACCACGCTGAGGCAGCGTCCCACATGCCACAACTAGAGGGACCCACAACAAAGAATATACAACTATGTACCGGGGGGCTTTGGGGAGAAAAAGGAAAAAAATAAAATCTTTAAAAAAAAAAAAAAACTCCACGGTACACTCATGAAAGAAAAAAACCTAATGCCTTAGTATTATTACGAAAATAGTCTTGATCTAGTAGACTCCCTTAAAGGCGCTCAGAAACCCCGGCCATCCGGGGAAATGCTGCTCTAGGGTACACATCTCACAGGGTAATTCCTGGGTCATAGGCTGTGCACGTTTGTAACCTCACCAAATACTTCTAAATCGCTCTCCAAAGCAGTCGTGACAGTATGTACAATCAGCAGCAGCGTTTTGGAGTTCCAGTTTCTCACATCTGAGTCAAAATTTGCTATTATAAGACTTTTAAAATTTTACCAACCTGAGGAGTATGTTTTAAGTTTGCATTTCCATGATTACTACTGAGATTGAATATATTTTCATAAGTTTATTTAGGTTCCCTCTTCTGCGAACTCCCTATTACTGTTTTTTGCAAAACTTTTAATTTTACGTGTTTTTTGAGTATTGATTAATAAGAGTTTTTAATATATTCGTTATATATTCTACTCCTTTATCAGGAATAAGTGTTCTAAACAGTTCTTCCATGATATTGCTTGACATTTATTTTTTCCCAAGACGACTTTTGATGCACAGAAAATTTTAATGTTATCAAAATTATCAATTTCTTTTTACAGTTTATGCTTTTTGAGTCTTACCTATTTAATTCTTTCTTACTCAGAAGTTATAAAAGTGTTCTTAAAATTTTTATTCTAAGAGTTTTAAGAATTTTATTTTCCTATTTAGTTATTTAATCTGTCTGAAAATTGACAAAGATTTTTGATATAAGGTTAGGTAAAGATACAATTTTATGTTTTTATCTTTTATATAAAGATAACCAGCTGTCCTAGGATTATATGGTAAACGTGCCATCATTTCCCCCACTTATTTCCATATATGTAGGGAGCTGTTGCTGGATTCTCTATTTTGTTCCATTAGTCTGAGTAGCCACACTTGGCTTTTCTTCTTCAAAATATTTGGTTATTCTTAATCCTTTACTCTTAAAATTTTTCCGTGAGATGCATAATACATACCAAAGAATATAGAAATTGTTCACGTACAATTTAAATTGTAAAATGAACACGTAACTAGTACCTTGGAAACCCCTGTAAACCTCTGCCCGATCACATCATTCTCCACCCCCGAAGACTGCTGGTGAAGGCTGTCCCTAAGGCCAGCTTAATCGTTCACCTGCTTCTCATTAGAGTTTTACTAACTGTTTATGTAACCCCACTATATATTTTTTAGTGTTGCCCATTCCTTGTATAAATGGAAACATATTACATGTTTTCTCTTGTGACTTGCTTCTTTTGCTCATTATGTCCCTGAGATTCAGCTTTGTGAGATGCATGTAACTATAATTTATTCATTTTTCTTGCTACGTAATATCCCACTGTATGAATATACCACAGTGTATTCTACTATTAATAGACACGTGGGTAATTGTTCAGGTTTATGCACGTTTCAAATAGTTCTACAATGACTATCCTTTTATATGCCTCTAGATGCACCGATGAAAGAGTTTCCCCCAAACAAGGAATGTAATTGCTGGATTCTAGAGTAAGGCACGCCAATTTGGGCAGGTAGTGACAAACTTTTCCAAAGTAGTCATTCCATCGCTACCGGCAGTAGATGCAAGTTCACGTTGCCACACAACTTGTCAACAAATATTCTCTAACATTTTTAACGTTTGCCAATTTGGTAAGTATGGAATAGATCTCATTTTAGTTTTAATTTACATTTTATTTATTAAAATGATCTTAAGCATACATTTAGGGACTCATGCAGTTCATTTCCTTCAAAATGTGTCTTTTGCCCAGTTTTTTTATTAGGTTATAATTTTCTTATTGATTTTTAGGAGTTCTTTATATATATATAAAGTATATATATAAGTATATATATATACTTTTAAAGATTGGCACCTGAGCTACCATCTGTTGCCAATCTTCTTTTTTTTTTTTTATTCTTCTCCCCAAAGTCCCCCAGTACACAGTTGTATGTTCTAGTTGTGAGTTCCTCTGATTGTGCTATGTGGGACGCCACCTCAGCATGGCCTGACGAGTG